AATACAATCAGTAAATTTCATTAATCAATAAATTTACATCTATAAAGTATAAAAAGATTGTAACATAAACATGAATGGGCGAATAAATGACAAAGTTGAAGTTCGAAACATAAACAAAGCCGCGCGATAAAAAGTTCTAATGTCACAGGTGTCAACAGGTTCTGTGCCAAGCGCGCATGCGCTTTGTAGGTGGAGGGGAAAGGTCGTTGTTAATATGCTAACCCTGAGGGGCTTCTTGAGAAAACAACAACCTTGCAACCCCTGCGTCGAAAAATTCGACTTGGAAGAAGTTAGTAGGGGGAACACGAGTTACGGATTATAAAAATAACACAAAAGTGTGCATAGCAGATGAACTAATAAACATAAATTCAAAGCAAGGGTACCGAAATAAAGAGTACAAGAAGACCTACTTTGCCGAGGATAAATGATGATGATATTCCAAATAGAAGCCAAGATATCCTAGACGAAATCCGCAAAAATGACACTTTATGGACTCTAATTAAAATAATTATAACTCTGCTTAAACACACACCACAAACACAATTCTTGCACCGTTAGAAAGCGGAATGCGCCAGCTTTCTCCAGATATCTGTGTTGAGATAAGAAGGCAATTTGGTCGCGAGTAATCACTTAACAACGACGGAGCATGAAGCAGCACTTCATTTTCTTCTTCCGGTTCTTCATTCAAAAACATAGGCTCATGCGTAGACAATGGATGAAAATTTAAAAATTTCAATAACTCTGGAATTATAAGACGTAGGAACACAAATCAAGCATCACAATTTGTAGCTTGTTGAGACCTTTACGATGTTACTAACTTTGTAGACACACGACAAATATTACCGCGGTTATAACTCGTTCAACGAGGAGCTCCTAACACACTGCTGCAGCGTTGTCACGGGGCAGAAACCCACATTTAAAAAATCCCACATTTAAAATGATCATACAGTAAAACTTCCATCTTTAAGGAGTTATATTTAATATAAATAATACGTAGATGTAGATTTGTCTACTATGTAGATTTGCCATTTTGCTAAAATTATTTGAAAGCAGGAAGATGTGACCTTTTTCCCGCTCATGCACAATGTAAAAAGGTAGGAACGAGGTGCCTCTTTTCCTGGTCCGCATAATGGCAGGGAAGGAAAGAGAAAATTTGTTGTCATATATTAAGAAGGTCGCCAAGTGAATTATTCTTGGCGCAAACTGAAAAAAAGTGCCAAGGTAAATTTTTGAATTTCTCCGTAAATTTCTCACCAAATTTGACAAAACTTAATATCTAGGCATAATTTGAGTCGTAGAATCGAAATACGGAAAAATATTGGTATGTTATTTCAGAAAAAGTATGATTTTGTGTCAAAATACCTATGTTAAAAAATGCTATACATAAATTTAATATATATCCAAAGTCGTGCTTTCGAGACATGAAGAACGCAATTTGAATTTTGTCAATCGGTTCAGTAGAACGGGAGATACAGAACTGTCCTTTTTTTTCGCAGTGTACATGCATGTTAAACTAGAGTATTTTTAACTGTCTTTATCAAACAATTAATTTAAACCTTACAAAATTACATATAAAATTTATTCAAACAACAACTGAACATTAAAAAGGAATTAAATTAAAAAAAATAAATCAGCAATGATGAAAAAATCCAGCGAATTCTAAAAACACCGAAGAAAAACTGGTCGAAATAACGAAAATGTAAAACTATCCAAATGTCTAGAACATGGAGAAGTCATTGTTTTTGTCACACATTGCAAATATTTTGGCAGCCAACGTTTTCAGAACTTTTGCACTAAAATTATTCCATTCTTGTTCAATCAATCTTTTAATTCGTTTTTTGATGAAATACTATATTTCGCATTTCCAATTCGTTTCATAACCTCATACTAGGACACATCCACTGCCTTGGTGTCTTTAGATACTACATTTTTTGGCTTCAGTTGTTAATTTCATTCTTCGCCAGGCAAAAATGCGACCATTTGAGCACAGCTTACTAACTTTAACTCTTCCCACAAAGATGACCTGATGCCAGTATGAAAAAAGGTATAAAAACCTGAGTTATTTATTTTTCTTATTTACGAAGTATTTTCTTTCTTGTTTAAAGACCATGGGTATCCGGCTAATCTAACGTTCTTCTGACTATTTCAGAAGAAAAAAAAGTATCAAATCATTCATTGATACTACTTGATTTTCACAGCTCCCGTTATTAAAATGACACGAAGATTTATCGCCAAGTTTAAACTTCTCGCATAGTTTGCAGTTGCGATATCTTCGCCACTTCTTTTAACATGGCATCAAAAAGCTCACCTTTTCCCAAACGATTTCCGCAACATGAATTCGGAAAAATGCGATTCTAGATGATGTCCAGCCGTACCCTTTTGCTCTTGGTATCGCTATTAACAGAACACCACAAGCTTTCTATATTTTGGGTGTGAATATCCATTGCTAGATCAACAAAATTAAATGTGTTAAACGGCTGTAACCAGCTTTTCAAGTTCGTCTGTTTTAAAGGATCGCCAACAACTGAATATAATGTCAAACCTTCCACTATGAGGCCTATAGCAGGAGTTAGACTCTAGACTCTTTAAACTCTGGGTCTACAATAGTGATGGGCAACTTCGGTACTTTCTTGTACCCGGTACGAGAGTAACGGGTACAGACAAGTACCTGGTACAAAATACCCGTTACTCAAGTAACCGTTACTTTGAAAAGTATCGAAAACCGATTTCAAGTACCGAGTACCCAAGTAACGATTTGGAGTACCGAAGTAACGAAATACCGGAGTAACGGTTTGCTGTACCGGAGTACCCTAGTAACGGTTTGCTGTACCGGAGTACCCTAGTAACGATTTGGAGTACCGAAGTGTCCTAGTAACGATTTAGAGTATCGAAATACGCAGCTAACGATTTTGCGCACTGAAGGAACTCTGCCACGTCACCACGATTTTATCTGTACGGAGTAAGATTTTGAATATCAAAAAACATGTCAACTACGTAAGTGTTTGAGGAGCAGGCCATTCATGGACACAAGGAGCGCATATCACCTTTCGCAAATACAACCTGATACTACTGTCCTCGTACCAAAACTGAAGTGAGCTGAACCCTCATCGATCCTCCAGTAACGAATACCGAAATACCGAGAAGAGACGCATATTTTCGTTGCAAAGTAGCGAATACCGAAAAGCACCCGTTTCGGTACAGAAGTAACGAATACCGAAAAGTACCCGTTTCGGTACAGAAGTAACGAATACCGAAAAGTACCTGTTTCGGTACAGAAGTAACGAATACCGAAAAGTACCGATTTCGGTACTGAAGTAACGGGTACTTGGATGTACCGATTTTCAGTACCCGTTACAAAATACCCGGTTCGGTAGTACCGACTCATCACTAGTCTACAGTCGTTGGTACCACTGTGTTTGCTTCCAGATTTGAAACTTGAAAAAACTCACCACTTTCACGGCTTAACTCACCGAATATCCAACTTTGTGGAAGTACCCTACCAGCATTGTTTTTTCGCCGCACGAACAAACTATCGAAAATTTTGACTATTTCCACAAAGCCCCTATTCGCCTTTTAAGTTGTCGAAGTAAATCTGGCGAACACAGCTCTCTCATAAAATTGTTCCAGTCAATCATGGTGTTTTGGCAGATGTCGCATCATTTAAGCGACATGAGTGTTTTTTAAGTTTTCCCCATGCGTAACGTATATACGACCCGATTTCCCTTCTCCACGAAAGTTCTCCACGAAGGCATTCCTCACCTTAAGCAGATAGCCATCCCGTGCTTTGCCGTAATCAAATAAACCAAACCAAACTTGAAACCACTAAACCAATTACTGGATCGAATATATATAATTGAATACAACTTTTCATGTCGCACTTCAACATACTTTCGTTTACTCGGTTAGCTACAGTTTCATTTCGTGGCCATTACTCACATTTGACTGCGAGGTAATATATCTTTTTCCCAGAAAAACGATTCAGTATCTTCCTCACTCATCGGTACATTAAAAATTGCTCTTTTTACAATGTTGAAATTGAAAAAAGACTATATAACTCTGGTTTGTCAAATTCGGCAAAAAGAGGTCAAAACTGAAAATACCATTTTTGACATAATTTGAAGAAATTTTTTCAGTGCTGAAAAAACACTATTACTTTATCACGTCGTTCATCAAATTCATGAAAGTATTTTTTACAGAGTTTGGCTGCTGATTGCAGGGGCCATGAAAATCAGTACCCTTTCATTAAATTCTGAAGAAAGTTTTAAAGCATTTAAGCATGAATTCTTTGAATTTTACTAAATAGAAAATGCTAGTCTCTCACAGTAAAACTGGCGGATGACTGCTGCTTCTCAAATATCCAATTCGATTTTCTTCCATGGATCAGTTCCTAACACTGAAAACAGCTGAGAGCACCAAATTCAAATTTTTAGCAATTTTCTTTTGAAATCAAATTAAATTCTAATCTCGTTTGACTTACCTTAATGATACCATGCCATGGTGTTACAGTGTAAAACTTAAAACTCTTAACGCGATAAATTTTCAGAGTCAAACGATATTTAAATTACTGCCATATTTTCAAAACAAAAAATATTATTACAGTTTAAAAACCAAAATACGCAATAAATGACTTTCATAACTCATAATTTTCTCTAAAAAGAATAGTGTCCCAAGACTTTTGAAGATTTTTTCTCACTGTTGATTAATTTTTAAGTTTAAAAAAAATTGTTAAATCATTTATTTGGATAAATATTACGTATAATTTTGTAGGGAACAGAATAAGAATATTATATTGAAGAAATTCCAACAATTTTGGGAGCCACCGTGTTTTATCATGATGACGTGTACAAATGGCGAAGGCAAAAATATTGCAAAATATTAAAATTGATAAAAACAAAATTTTTTAAATCCACTGCTACAATTAAACTAATATTTAGTTTTCAGTTAAGCAGTTATACGCGTACGGAAATGAAACTATTGAATAAATGTTTTACTCACCACCCGACAGCATTTACAAAATTCGACTTGACGTTTCAACTTGGAACGGTGCCAAAACTTTTCTAGTCTTTTACTCTCATCGGAATTCGGGGCGAGAAAATATTTCAACAGCCATATTAGTTTTGCATATTCCAATTTGAACCTGAGGGAATAAAAAAAAGACCAGGTAATTAACATAACTTAAATTCAATACAATTTCTCAAAAAATAAATAAATAAAATTTTAAAAATTTAAAAAATTTCAGATTTTAAATTACGTCCACAGGGACTTTTTTTTAACGTTTTGTGTGTTACCTTTATTTATTAAATATTATATTATACGTACTCAAACTATAAAATTCTGTTTAACAGCAGTATCGCAAAATAATTTTAAAATGAGCATATCTTTAGAATTTCCGATTCAGAGTCTCGCGCTTGAGATATATATATATATTTTTTCCCCGAATAGTGTTGCCATTGCTCGCTTTGAAATCGTTGAGTTTTTTTAATAAAAAATTCGTTGAAGTATTACAAAATCTGAAATCGATAATAAAACAAATTTCAAATTCAAATGAGGGCTTCTACACGCCCATATTCTATGGAAGATTACGTTATTTAAATTTTGATGGCACTAGGTACCGTTGTTTATCACAATGCGAGAAACATACATACATTTATGCAGATTCTTCATTATTTAATTTCTTTAAATATAAGATAGGGCGATAATATATGGTGGCAACGATTTGAAAAGTGATACAGCTTTTTAAAGTTTTCAACGCAAAATGCCAAAACGAAATTAATAGTCCTTCAAGATAAATTCAGAGCAGATTAAAACAATAAAATCTGAAAGGTTTCAGATTTTAAATTATGTCTAAAGGGGCGTTTTTTCAACATTTTGTGTGTTACCTTTATTTATTAAATCATGTTCGTTGGACCTAAACCATAAAATTTAGTTCAAGAGTAATATCGCAAAATAATTTTTAAATGAGCATATCTTTAGAATTTCCGATACACAATCTCGCGCGCTGGAGACAAAAATGTTTCTTCTGTACAGCGTTACCATTGCTCGCTTTAAAATCCTTGAGTATGTTAATCAAAAATTCGTTAAAGTTTCACAAAATATGAACAAATTCCAAACTTCAAATTTGGGCTTCCAGATGCCCACATTCGCAGGAGGATTACGTTATTCAAAATTTGATGGCTCTAGGTACCATTGTTTTATCACAATGCGAGAAACATACATACGTTTATTCAGATTCTTCATTATTTAATTTCTTTAAAAATAATTTAAATATAATTAAGGGCGGTAACATTTGGTGGCAACAATTTAAAAAGTGAAATAACGCTTGAAGTGAATCGATGCACAATGGCAAAACAAAATTAATAGTCCTTCTGGGCAAATTGCCCCTTTGGTCTAAAAAAAAAATTGTTATTGTACCTGGTAAAATTTCAGTAAATTAATTTTTATTACAGAATTTCAAAATTTGTAACAAAAATTATGTTATAATTTCCTTATAAAAATGACAAAAGTATACTTAATATTTGATTTCCAAGACAAAGTATGAATTTCTGCATATAATTTACATTTAGAGAATAAATCGTAATATGCCTTAATATTGTTACATTATTTTCTTCCTTCACGTTCGTACGGGTTCGTAGATTTTGAGCGAATAACAACGACACTTGATGAAGTATCAAAACGCACTTTATTAATCAGATAGCTCCAAAATCACTTTTACAGTCGTCGAACTGTTACAAACACGCTGACACGTTCAGCGACACAGACTTCACACTGTCAGGCAATAACGGTGAAGACAGCTTCACTGCAAAGCACTAGAGTACAGCTTTCGACTCTTGCTTGGTCGTTCTTGGAACTCCCTCCCCGTTCTCTCGAGACTCTCCACGCTACAACTCGCGATGTACTCGACGATACACAAGAGTATAGCTCTCGACTCAGCACAGTCTAAGACAACTTGACGATGCACTAATTCGCGATACACTAAAAGACTCTCTCGATGCACTCGACGACCAACTCGGCGCTAGACTTCGAGACATTCGCTCAATGACTGACTATCAGCTCGCTAGACGAGGCACACTCACTGACTGCGGGCCAGCAGGGTTTATATAGCTTTCGGCTTGTGTTCGAGAACATTTTGGGCTAAAGGGTAAGAATTCGTTCTAGAAGGTTCTCCAACCGTCCATGGTATATCGCCAATATGTCGCCAAACATGCGATTTCTCGCCAAATGTGGCAAACCTGCCTTCCCTTGCCATTTAATGGCAATCCTAAAACTGCTTTGCGGGGGAAGCCATCTTACCGCGCCTGTACATTTCGTAACAATACAAAAATTTAATAGCCCTGTTTTATTTGAAGAGTTAAATCAACCAATAATTTCCTTGTTAAAAAAGTCCTGGGGAGGAAGGGGGAAAGATACATTTTTTTAAAGATAACTACTTTATCATTTGTAGATCCGAATTTAATCTTGAGATAAAGAAAGAATAAATTAAAAGATTAACATTTTCTTCCTCCGCAATACATTGATTAAAGCAATTGTCCGCAATAAAGGCAATTGTCCGCATTAAGTTTCAACTATGAAAATATACATTATTCGCTATTTAAAATGCACTGGAATTCACTATAAAAATTACGAAAGAACACGCTTAAACGGAATTAGCAATAACATTAACCATTTCGTCTGCTAATGTACTCGACCGGCAACATTTACGCAGATTAGTAATTGTATTGAAATGACGTTTAAATAATTTATTTCAACTAAAAAATATACGACTATTTATTACTTATTATAAACAAATATTTTAAGGCAATTCCAATTTTGTAAAAATCTTTTGAAGAAAAAACTATGGAAGATAAAAATTTAAAAAAAAAAAAAACTCAATTTTCAGAACAACTATTTGTTAATTACTCAACTGTACTTAAGAAATTTGTATTTTACGTAATTAATAACTGTAATTTAGAATACTATTTATGTGCAGTATAAATGAATTGATTAGTGAAAAAAGAATAAGATAACTTTACCTCCCGCCCAAAAATATACGTGGAGATTTTCCCCTCCATTTCCTAGTTGTTATACTTTTCTTTTGATTGGAGAGTAATGGATTATCGGGGAAGGGTGCCGATATAAATGCATATATAATTACAATAAATAAATCTTAACTAACTGAATTTGGGGGGTTAATAGCTAAAGACTAGGAGAAAAATAATTAAAATTTGTCCAATTTTTAATTAAAGACATTTAATTTTTCAGAGGAAATTTAATTTTTTATTTATTTAATTAAATCACCTAAATGTGTACACTGTTCCACATATAAAGTTAATTTCGATAAATTGAAATGAATGTTAAAACTCAGAATGCAGAACTTTTCTCGATAAGTAGAAGTTTTATTCTGTTCCTTTCCGTCTCAGGTTACCAAACTTCGATAACATTCCTACGGTTTTTTTTAAAGAAAATTTCTTTAGAAATGCATAGCAAAATATACTGTTGCGTTTCTGTACGGGTTCGTGGATTTGGAACGATTAACGACAACACTTGATGAAGATGAAAACAGAATTTATTAGCCAGTATCACTCAGGACAGCTCCAAAAACACGTTCACAGAACACAGCTTTCAGGCTATAACAGTGAAGACAGCTACACGGCACAGCACTAGAGTACAGCTCCCGACTCGGTTTGGTCGTTCTCGGAACTCAACGTACTCTCGATACTCTCCACGCTACAACTCACGATAGACTCGACGATGTATTAACTCGCGATACGATAAGAGACTCTCTCAATGCGCTCCACAACCAACTCGACACTAGACTGACGATCAACTCGATAGATTACGAGATATTCTATAGACTCGTGAACGACTGCTACTCCGCGTATCAGCAGGGTTTGTATAGCTTTCGGTTTGCGTTCGAGAACATTCTGGGCCAAACCGGTAAGGATTCGTTCCAGAAGGTTCTCTTACATAGAGAGCATTCATTTACAAAAATATAAATGGCTTAGTACACAGTCCTATTTTGCATCCGTCATGAATGTTAATTTCTGAATGCAAGTAACTTATAAAGATTTGACTAAACTTCAATTGAATGCACATTTTTTTAAAAAAATAAATATACTAGACAAAATTTTGGGATCTTAAGACAACAGGAAAACTGAATCACGTAATATACAGATAGGAAAAAAAAAAAAATAGATTTTTCATACAAGTTAGCCCAGCTGCACAGTAAATGAGAAAAATCAGTCGTTTTACACTGTCATTTTTAAGGCTAAGCCTCAAGATATTCTTTTCAGAGCTCACAGCTTAATGTTATAATGAAATGCGTCTATGCCATGTTACACATGGGGAAAGCCACAGAAACTCCCAGCCAGCCAGCCTATTCATATTTGTATAAAGTTATAAGAAACACGATATTTTTGTCATCATGTAGAGTTGGTAGATGTAATATGCGCCACCTTGAATGTGCACCGGTGATCGGTACAGGAGTTAGCGACGCAGGCTACCATACTGATGGAACCAGTTTTGAATTCTGGAAAAGCATGGATGTTTACAAGTGTCTGTGCTGCATGAGGGGACTTAAAATCCTCTCCACTGGTTTAGTGGCAAGGAAAGAGGAGAGAGAGACCCTCGGGCCATTACCCCGGGGTGTTTATCATCAAAACTGCGGCAAAGCTGCACAGCTAGTGCGGTAAAACCATAACTGTAGGGCCAATGAAGACATTCTGGTGTCCTGCCTTACCTCTACCAATACCTGTGCGCGGCGCTTATGTACGTTCTGATTTATTTAGAGGTTTTTTTTTTTTTTTTTAATCACAGCACCTGTTTTTAGTGTTACGCATTTTTATTGAGCACTTTTTGAGCTATTTGGTACAGCAGCAAATGCTTCCTAATTTTCCTATATAAATTAATGTAATAACTTCTTTGTTTCACGCCATTTTAGGTTACAAAAGTTTCATATCAAAGCTCTACTTTTCGTACAGAGAGAAGACCTGGAAATGTAATAGCATAGTCTTTTTCACCCGAGCGGTAAAGTAGCTGAACACTGGTAGTTCGGTCCGAGGTTCGAATCCCGCGAACGGGCTGGCTGCATGAGTATTTTCGTGGTTTTCCTCATGTGTAACGTGTATACGAGCCAGTTTCCCTTAGAAAGTCCTCCACGAA